GAGGTGTACACATTTCTCCAGGGCCAAGGCAAGTATTCAGAAGGAATCTATTCCTCCCCAAAATTGTTCACCATTATCACCATTTTGCATTGTCCCATTACTACAGACCCCCTGAAGACGCAAGGTGCGACTTGATCCGATCGCTTGCGACTCAAATACGACCCCTTCCTCATTTGAGAGTCCTCAAGATTTCCGAATCCATCCCAGATCGTACTGACAATGATAATTTTGGACTCTTCCCGGCTAAGGGGGTGGGAGGCATTTTGCACCTCTCCAGTTCCTTTCCAAGTTTATGCTAACTAACAGGTCTAGTTTGGTGAAACCTGTTAAGTCTTGTGAAGCTGTGAAATGTACAAGTAGGCCACCTAAGTTGCCAGAATTCACAAGTCCTCACAGGGTGACCTGTTGATAAGTTTCGCGAGCATGAACTTGAATGCCCCACCAAGCCGGAACTTGGGTCATTTGGTATTATCGCGCAAAAACGACAGACCAGAAAATGTGCACGGATTAACCGGAATAGTTTTACCACCGGTTGGCTTCCGAGTTGGAACCACATTCGCTGAGTGAATCCTTGAGGTGCCTCGAACTCAGCGACTACGAAACGGGTACCTCACGCCTCCTTTACTGGTTGAGGGACTTGCATATCCATTTACTCCACCGTGCCGCCTCTTAAATCTCACTATGTACTTTTATTTTGCCTTTTGGGTGATAGCATTAGCGACCACTCGCCCGAAAACGTAAGCTTGGGTTCGGTCCCGCCTGGTGGGGGCTTTTGTTCATAACTCCGCATTTTGTAGTAACTTTACTGGCTGAAACCCTTTATCCTTACCCAAATCATCGTCTTCCATTTCTCAGCCTCGTTTTCGAATGATGTCTGATTTCTCCGCAACTTTCTCCTCCCAGAAACTCTCCGTTCCCACAGCCACCTTCGAACGATGTTATTCCATTCGACATTATCATAGCACTACGAGTTCATAGTTCCAATTTCCAAGCGTATTTAGCGCTCAATCGTCACATTTAATTGAAATCTCACGATGATTGCCGTCCCCATTGAGAGATCGCCAGCGTCAAATGGTTGTTATAACGCCAGCGCGTCGGGTCCAATTGCAAATGCATGCATTTGTCATCAATTGGAAGGTTATGCTACTATATAGTAGTTGACTAGTCGGTCATAGAAGTAACTACGTTGTTTACCTAATTCTTTACTTGTTTACCTCTACATAATTTTTAATCTGAATTACTGACCAATCGTGTTCTATTTGCATTGTTTGCTATTTTGTTTACCATATTTGTTGTATGTTTTACAGTTTATATCGTCGCAACCATTCAGGCAGTTATCAGGCGTATGGAATGACCCCGCCCACTTTGCGTTTTCCACCAACAGTGACCGTTCTGGGGCTCGATTCAGAGCGAAAACAACCAGTAGTACACGTGTAGGCTCATTCCATACCTCTTGACACCGCCCCGACAAATCTTGACGACATCGACTGCATATTCGTTCGAAATCTCTTCTTTCTAGTAGTGGAGCTTAGTAAGGAGGCCTGACCTGGACATAGCAAGTGGAGGGGTGGGGGGGGGGGGGGAAGAGGAGGATGGGTCAAAAGCAGGTGACACGCAAGGCAACAGGGGGCCATACACTTAGCATTTAAGAGCATTGTGCTCTCAGCAGGCGCTGCGTCGCGCCTTTCCAGCTGAGGTAACCGTTATAGCACCTAATAAGAAGCAACATGCCGACCCATACACCCCCGCAACCACCCGCCCATAAGTGGCCGAACCTCACTTCGATTCGCTCACTCTTATCGTGTCATCTAATGAAGTTACCTTGATATCGAAAACGTAGCATACATGGATATCAATGAACATAAGTCTGCGTTGACTTATCGGAGAGGATTGTAGGGCACGATGTCAAGCGAGGAACTCGTCCAAGAGTAGCTCGTTCAGTGCGTGGCACACAAGGTCTTTGCCGCTTCGACGCCTCTTTTCCGTCAATTCCCCACTGTACAAGCACCGGCCCATTCCAACACCATTCAAACGGCACCCCCTGCCACGTTTTTTGAGCAGGTTATCGTGCCTTAAGCATTTGATGGTAGTTGGAATGGGGCAAGATCGACAAAAAAGTGTTCGAATTCCATCTGAAGTAACCAACATTTCTGTACAATAGGCTCCGGCTGGGACTGCATGCAAGCTGCTCTGCTGAGGCACTCACCAGATCGTTTCACTCTCTGCCCTATTTCGAGTGATTATGGGGGCGGCCTCTGACGCCCGCGAATGTTTTTTTATGGTCTCGTTGGACTTGCACTGTCAGTCTAAGACATGAGTACAGCAACCTCCGGTTGTTGTGAACACACAGCGAGGAGGTCGTGCTTTTGTCTGGGGAGGACGGGCGGGAGCGGGGGGGGGGCATAACACATAAAAGAATTTGCCGCTACGTTGTGGAAGAATTTTTCGGTGGCTGCAGCTTTTGTGATTCTGTAGTTGTTTCTTTGCTGTGTATTATATACCCTCCACAGCTAGACAGCAAAATTTTTGGGTGTAAAACTGGAAAATGTGGGAAATTTGTAGGGTAGATAGGTGTTTTACGTCGTACCGACCAACTCTCTTAGGGAGGGTCATACTAACACCACCACTTTACACATCGCAATCTGTACCTTGGTCTTACTAACACAGATAACCAGGTCATTATGCTTCTTTGAGCTGTAATGTCAGCTTGTGGGGATGAAGGTAACTGATCTGCTTCGTTCTTCTCGTATGGAGCGGAAGCCTAACCAATTAACCTCCAAATGCGTCCTCAAATTGTATCAAAAATCTCTATGTGGCGTATACCACGAGTGTTCGGCACCAGCTTCATCTAATGTTCATCCCCCTACCATTGTTAACTATTACCTAATTAGGAATTTCTCGCCCTCAGGAAGACGCTCGCTCTCCATTGCCGATTAACGCTTTCGAGTGAAGAAATCGAAACTTCAATTTGAAAATTTTTCAAATATGATTTTTCATCCAGTTTGGTGCTTACTATGTTCCGTGAAATGCTTTCTAATACAGCCATTCGTCGGGCCCATAAACGATGCTGTCAATCAACTTGAGTATGTATGATGATCCTCATGACTTATTCCCAAGCTCCACGACATATGACACACTATTGCTCCAGGAGAATGCGCTCCTACCTACTATTTCTAGGAAACCCCTGGCGAATTTCCGTTTTCCAGGGAATTTCCTGAAAATCATTTCATTCCGCTTGACTCACGGACGTTTTCGTCAGTGATATGTGGTGAACCGCTATTTTCCCGACGAGAGCGGATGGAAATGAAATGGTCCTCCCTCCTCTTGAACATCTAGGCAGAGTTCTTTGTTCCGTCAGTACGCCAGTATTCCCGGAGGTATTGACATAAAAAACGACATGGGTCGTTCATTTCACTGCCGCTGTTTTTACCAAAACTAGTGTCACACCAGATTTCGGCCATCCAAAACTCGTGTATTGGACTGAGGGGCACCAGGCATTCTTCTTGACGGCGCAGTTCGGCGACGGAAGAGAGGGGCATTTGCTCTCCATCGATGTGTCGACCCATCTAGATAGCCTTTTCTTGAGTTGACACGTTTTACCATGGTGGCTAGACGAGCTTGCTCCAGCTTCACAAGAGTTCACAAGTTTCACCAGAGTGAGACTTGTAAACCGGAAGTAGTGAAGCAGTGGAAGTGCAAAATGCCCCCCCCCCCTGTCACCGAACTGCGCTCTTCTTGACTTTTCGATTCTATGAGCCAAGGTAGCGCTCAGAACATGGCTTTTCGCCAGGGTGCACTCAAGAACTCCTTTTTCAGGAAAACTCTTATCTCCTTCTAAGGCGCTTCGCTTTTTTGATGTTTTGACGCCTTCTTTGGTTATAGCAGTCCTGTCACCAAACTTCGAGCTACTACTTTCGCAACTCGAAAGTCTGAGAAGAGTGCGATCCATCGAAGTCACCGTTCCACCCCCTGGACACCGCAACGCCAGACTTTCATTCTCGAAGGCTCTTCTAGTGACGTGGTTGTTTCGCTACTATCTCACTCCATTTAGATGGGGAGAGCGAGGTGATAACTAGAAAGAGCTGGCACAGCAAGTAGCAACTACTTGTCCACCCTTGCCGTTTCTTCGAAGTTGACGCACGAAGGCAGTTCTGCGTTCTATGGGCATTTCGGGCAAAATTTTCTGTATTTTCATCCTTTTGTGTCTATTTTACCATCTTGTCGTTAGTATTTGCAAGCCGTGCTAGAAGTCACCATTTTCGAACACGGTTCTGCCTTCAAGCTAATTTCTTCGTTATTTTCAAGCCGAATCCGCGAACCCTCTTAGCTGACTGCACAAATGTATTGGCATAATGATATGATATAAGACTCAGGAACTGCTCCCTGCCTGGACGGGGCATTCAAGGAACTTTGTTGTGTGACATTGTTATTACATAGCACGGGACCCTCTCTTTGCAAAAAACTAGGTTCACTCTCCTTTGAGCTCCGTCTTCCCCCCCCCCTCCTCCGCCCCTCTAGGCTCCATCCTCGTCTTTTTGAGCCCAAATTTCATTCACCAGTTCATTACAAAGGCCTGTTTAGAAACAAAAAGCGCCCTTAGAAACATTCCTCAGAAGTTGGTTTCCTTGCGACTTCAGAATCCAGTTTCTTGCTTGGGGAAGTCGAAGTCCGCTATTTGAGTTCATTCGGAAATATTGCGCCAATACCACCCGTTAAGTTTTACATTTCAAACGAGGCGAAGCTCTCAAAGTGGTGGGGCTCATGACGAACTCTTCAAAACTACAATACCGCCCTAATTTTGGAAAAAAGGGGATTAATCCGCCAGCCGCTTGGTCCTTGATGGTCCGCAAATGAAGCAGCGGATGCTCGAGATTTTCGGACTGAAAAGGCTACATTGTCCGAAGAATGACATCGACCATTCCTTATTTGTTACCCATAAGGGAGATCATCTGTCTCCGCCACGCTATATTGTCGGATATGACGTGGAATGATATTGACTGATGGAAAACAGAGGCACGTTTTTCAAGGATTTGATGGGCGGGCAGCGCCGACATCCGTCACCGGACCCGTTCGCAGCAGGCGCCATGTTTCCCGACAAATCCAGAAATACACAAACTTGGGCAAGGTAAACAGGTGTGTTTCTTGAAACTCCTTGGTTCAAATTTCTTTTTGGGGGTGCCAGTGCATTAATGCTTTTGCGCTCACATTCGATCAAACGTTTTATTTCCAATTCAATCCTATTTACAGCATGTGTTGGCGCACGAAATCGGGCAAGGGTCGTTGTGCAGAAAATGTGACTGCACTGGGCTTGATCTCCATTTTTGGCGGTGAGTCCAGCACGTAATCTTTCTTCGTCCTTCGAAACATTCTAGAAGAATCATATATCACCCACAGTCCTTACGCACACACCGCCGCTCCCTTGGCCCTTGAGCTGCACGGGGGCTAGTGCCATGGTCATTTGCCCTTGCAACTTTCTTGAGTTACCCAGACTGTTCGTGCTCGAGGGATACGATGCGCCATTTTCGTATGGTTCAGAGCGCTTCTAGCAACCGTGGGGGGGCAGGCAGTCCTCCAAGTTATCTTAGGAAGGTTAATAATGTGAAGAGTGTTCGAGACACAGGCGGCGTGCTGAAAATGCCGTTAGCGTACAGCGACGCGTGCGCTTTTGGGATTCTCTCACCGGGAAGGGGTCCTAGTTGGTCGCCGGAAGGAAGCAGCTTGAAATCGCCTTTGGGAAAAAATGATTTCGATGGTTGACTTTTCTCAGTTTTTTTCCATTTCACATGCGCTGTGGCGCCCACCGCCCCCCCCATTCTATTCCCCAGTGCCTTCCGCTTCCATTGCCACTTTTGGAAAAGAAAACTTGGAGAACTGTTCTGAAAGAATTTCCCGGAAACAGTGGTAGAAGCAAGCGAAATTAGGAAAATTTGCGGGAAATGGTGGGAGCGATGGGAGATACGAGGGTTTGCGGTTGTCGTATTAGTGGCCCGAAGAAATTCCGGGAAAAGTCGTATTCCTGCCGAAATTTCTTCCCAGCCGCTGGGCGTGCCCTACTAGTAGCGAAGGTACTTTTGTGCGTGGCTGCATTCAGGGGTTCCACAATGGCATTCAAGTGCCGCCAAGTAGCCTCACACTGTTTCGTGGACCGTGAGAGGCTCCAAAGGATGTCTGAGCAGCGTCAAATCTACCATTGCGCCTTACTCTTTCTTCATTCTTCAATTTACTCACCTTTCTCTTCAATCTCTTCATCCTCATGGAAAAGGCACCTGTATAGGAGCGCGCAGAAAGTCGGCTACATCCTAACGGGAAGACCTTTCAAGGCAGTGGGATGTTTTGTGGGTGACGCGGGCAGAGGGTTAAATTTTGACCCACTAACACTGCGACGTGAAGGCAAAACCAATCGACTATCCGTATACTCGGAAATAATTTATAGCGGGGCGCCAACTCCACCGCGCCAGATTGGACAAAACGCCAGGCCACAACCCATGATTAGAAAAGGCACCGCATGCGCCACCGCCCCGGAGGCAAACACGCCGTGAAAAGCTCGTTAGAGGAGGCGGTATGCCAAAAGTTGTTGCGCCACTATGCAGAAGTGCTGGCACTTATTTTCGGATGACTAAGCACAAATGTTAATATTCTCTCGAAACATCACCATTCCGGTCATTTCGTTGTCAACCAATCGATTAAATCCGCTTCATTCCTCTGCATCAGCGCATCTTTAGTGAGTTTTGACCTTTCAGCGAAACAATGCACGATGGTCGTGGGGGCGGGGCCAGGCCTACTCACTGGTGCTCTCCTCGTTCTCTGAAACCGTGAAGGGGAAAGGCGCTCCATTCACTAAAGAGCAGCGATAGGTCTGACTCCGCCCGCCTGGCTAGCGTAGACCAGCAGCTACCCCATCCCCTCAGCAGACCTTAACGCCCATAATGTTTTTTTGTGCATCGCGGCGCCCAACGCTAATATTCGATTAACTAAGCGAAATACTGGAATTAATGAGCTCCACCATTTAGTTAACCCCAGGTGAAAGTAAGGTTTAATGAGATTGGGTCTTTTCAGGAAACTTTGTAAAAATTGTGGCTGTCGAATGGACGAGCATGACGTACAGCTGCCAAATCAATACGACCACGGACAAATCGTTATCGGTAAGTTATAAACCGTAAATGCACAGTCCACGCTGATCGTATGGGCGGTCGAATTCATCAACACGTCTTCGTCACTACTATGCCGTAACTTTGAGACGATAGGAAGGCAGAGTCGTAGGTGCATTCAGGTGCCACCAGACAAACCCGACACCATTTTGTTGACCTTGAGGTTAAGTATGCAAGGAGTGAACCTCCTTGCATACTTCGCTCCAGGGTCCACAAAATAGTGTCAAGTGTGGGCAATTATGACGAGTGTAGTCTGCGCTTTCCTTAAATGGGGCTGTACATTTGGCGATTGCCTCCCTTATTTTCAGAAGCTTGACCCCTGATAGCTTCGCGTTTCCTGGGACGTTTACTGATTACCATTACACACCGCGGGCTATACAAAGCACTTTTACTCTACCTCATCATTACGGACTGTCGGGGCGTGTCAGCCAGTAGGAGTGCGCACACTGTTGAAGCCGTTCTCAGCCTTTTGTTGAAACGCGTATGCGACAAAAAGTGGTAGAAAACGAGTAGTACGAAGGATATAATACAGTAATGTCACTTGCCCGCTTCAACAATTGGTGCAGAACGACTTCGGTACCGCGCCAACGCAGCCGCACTGACACGCCCCGACAGTCCGTAATGATGAGGATTTAAG